ATTATTTTGATTTATATCATTAATAATTTGACAAGAATTCTAACTCATTTTTTTTATCTTCTTTTTTGAAGTAAATGAATTATTACACTTCTATTGTTGTATTTTTGGGTTTATAGGTACACTTCTATTTAGAAGTGCTCTCTTTTTGTTTGCACCTTTGATGAAAAAGAATTCACAATTCTTTTATAATTTGAATTCATTCCTAAAAGTGTTTACAATCACATTTGGAAAAAGTGATTGAAAAATAATAGTAGAGATCAAGCTCTTATCTTTACAACAATAATCACAATCAACCATCATATATGCTACCAAATTCTAAAATCTTACTTACATCATGGATTAAAATGATAAAGTCCTTATCAATCAACTTTGATATTATTTGAAGGATAACATCAAAGACTTGTTATTAATAATGCTAAAAGCAAATTTTTCAAAATATTTTTTTGCTCATGCCATTAAAAGAAAAAATTGACTTTTAAAAGATATCAACAACAAATATTTGGCTAAAAAGGAATAATTCAAGTAATACCAGAAATTCCTAAGTTTTTATAAACTTATTCATCAAGGCTAAAACCAATGCAAATTGATACAATACATTTTAAATTCCTCACATAGCAAGAAAAGACTCAATGTTATCAAAGAGATTTATACTTATATTATAAAAAAGTTAAGTACACTGCTCAACATTATACAAATAAGTAACACAATTACAAAATGAGGAGCACAATTGCCAAAAAAAATAATGTATTTAAAAATGAGTTTGTCTAATTACAATAGGAACTATGCAGTTGAAATCATATGCATGACCTAGTAAAGGTCCTATTCTCTTTTTAGACCCCTCACCTAATTTTACAATAGATGTGTGTTTAGGATCTAAAAATCATAAATTCTTTACATTATTAGATTCAAGAGCCTTAGCTTGTTTTATAGACAAAGACTTTTTAAAAAAATAAAAAATAACTTTAGTCAAGAATACTAAACTTGTACATGTAGAAGTCATAGATGATCGTTCATTGTTATTTGGAGATTTTATCCATGAGATTCTTCCTTTAGATGTAGCAATTAAAGATCATAATAGTATAAAAATATTTAATATAATAAGATCAACTTCCAACTTTATTATTTTAAGAATATTATGGTTTGAAAAATAAAATCCTCAAATAGATTAGATTTTTTGTAACCTTAACTTTTCTTAAAATTTAATCTAAAATTTTGCTAATCAAATAGAAGTATATAAATCTAATACATCCAAATCCTTATTGATAGATGCAAAAGCTTTCATGTATGAGGCAAAAGAAGAATGTGAGTTACAAAATTAACTCATTGGTATATTTTAGTACAAAAAATGTACTTATGGTGCTTAAAGTCACTATTTTAGTGAGTTAGTTTAGGATTTTTGAGCTAAAAAATAAAATAATAGAATGAAAATCATTAGAAGGGATTTAGGTAGAATTTTTGAAAAAAAAAATCTAAAACAAATATATATTTTAATTAACTAATTAATATAAGTTATGATATTTAATAGTAGTTTTATTATTGTAAATTTTTTAATTAGAATAGAAGCTAAGAAGGATCTTTGATCTAAATTAGTTCTTTAAAAAATATAAAAATAGAAAATAAAGAAAAATAAGCTAAAAAAATAATAATAATAAAGAATTAGAAAAGAAAAAGAAAAAATAAATAAATAAAAAAAAATAAAAAATAATGAGAAGGACAAGAGGCTATTCAGAATTGGTAGTAGTCTCTTTGTTGATAAGAATCTAGTTGCCCAGATCCCTGTATCTCTCTTTTTTATGTTTATTTTCGTAAATGCATTCTTGCTCTAATTGAAATGGAATTTTTGCTTGAAGTTTAAATTGCAATAGTTTGTCGCTACCCTCTCTCTTTTTGTTATATATATTTGGCATAGAACTCTAAAAATTGTAGAAGTAAGTTTATCATTATTAGTTTTTTCTTGTCTCTATGTATTTTTGAAAGGCTCAATTGCGATTTTAAGGTGGTAACATTGCAGCAATAATTTGTAGTAGTATGTTGGTATCTTTTTCATATTTTTTGGTGGTACAATAGTGTTACAAGTGTATTAGGCTACTATTTCTGATGTGCCTTTAAATCATGGACAACATTGAAATTCATGGTCTTAATATTGATTGCATTGCAATAGAATTGTTAAGTGTACAACATTGTTGTATTATGTGAAGTCATACTTGAAAATGCATCAAGCACTTGGTTGTAGAAGATAAAAGAAAATTACAACAACAAGTCCTAACAATTCTAATAGAATCATATATAAATTACAATTAGAACTTAATAAATATAATCAAATATTGATCAAGTCTAATTAAATTTATAAATAAATTATAAAATAAATATAATAAAATCCTAAATAAATCCTAATTGAATTGAAATAAAATCCTATAAAAGCTCTAATAAAATCTTGGATAAATTCTAATAAAATCCTAGACAAATCCTAATCAAATTCTAATTCTTAACAAATCTTATGAAAATTGAAATCTCCAGAATTAATAATCAAATTATTGATTTTAATTAAAATTTTTCACATCTTTCAATAACTAAGCTAATAAAAAGTACAAATATTTTTAAGAACTTCAAACTTATTAAATAGAAGATAAATCCTAAAATCCATTTGAGTGTTGGCTAATCTCTTTCTTCAATCTTGATACTAATCTTTCTAAGCCAAAATCTCTTAATTCTACCATTAAATACCTCTCTAAATTAATATATGTATTAAAAATCAAGTTTGCTATCTACTTATATAAATTTCATTTCAATCCAATTAACAGATTATTAAAATTTTAAAAACCCTCACTCATACTATAAACCTCATTTCTAAGATCTTAACCTACTTGAACTTCAATAACCTTCACATTAATAATTTTATTACATTCAAATTTATTCAAATTTATAATATGTAAGAAAAAAAAATATAAAAAAAAATCCACAAATTTTCACTTATAGATCTACTACCAAATTCAAAAAATTCTTTAAAATATAAATTTTTATTTAATTATATAAAACCAGATTCACCAAAAACAACCTTGACTTTGTAAAGCTCTTGCAAAGTTATTACGTTCCTATCTTTGATCTATATTTTGCTACTATGTTTTTTAAATAGGCTCTTTTATAATAGATCACATATTTTGTTTTTCACCATATAGTTGTGTTATAACACAACAACATGTATTAAATTAGAAAAATAATACATGTAATACATATAGATAAGGATATATTAAAATTTGATATTAAAATAATAAACATGACAAGAATATTGATTTAAGAATCATAATTAAAAATAAAATTAAATATTTTTTGGCACAAAAATGGTGTCTATGCAATAAAAAAGAAAAGATGTCTAATTAGTAGTTCTTTTGTTTTATTGCAATACATTGTATATTGAACCAAGTCATGCTTGTCAGTTTTAAAGTTTGTGGTCACTTGTCCTATTGAGAGGGATATGTAGGTATGTGCACTCATACATTTATACATACATGGATAGAAAGTGGGCTTAACATTACATGAAAAATTTGTACAAAATGTCATGTAATCTAATTTTTTTCTATTTGATTGACTGACTTTACGATGTGATACATTTGATGAAACTGAAGATGGAGGAATCAATATTAAAATAATAATAATAATAATAATAATTTAGGAATACATACAAAGGTTGCACTTTGGTTAGCTATGTATTTTCTGATGATTTATAGCAGACTTTTTTCATAAATAGGAAACAAACAGAGTAAGAGATCTGATGTAATAGAAAAAATCATTAAAATCTGAGGGTTGTTTTTCTATCATTGAATTCTTAAACACACATGCATAAAATGTTTAATATATAATTTGAATTAAAATTCCCCCAAATCCACCTTTATATCCTTAAACCCTAATTTCACAAGTGTTACAAGAAATATAGTATTTATGTAATTACTACCTTTATATCGTGTATAATAAATTACATTGTATAATTATTACATCCTGTATTCTTCTGCAATTAGAAACCTTTTTTTTTGTCGTAGACAAGGGAAGATAACTCAACTAACAAATGCAAAAAGTTACTGTCAGTAGGATGATCTGGTAAATTTTTATCAAAGGTTATTTCTTTAATATACTTTGTTATAATTCTTATAATTTTAATAATATTATAATACGGTGATTATTACAAATGATCATTCTTAACAATTATAACTACATTATTATTATCATTATTATTTTAAAAATACAATATATGTATAAAAACTGTAAAGCCATTTGCAGGACTTACCATCAAGAAGCCTAACCAAACAATATTACATAAGCAATACAAGCAATATTACATAAAAGTCATTCTGATTTCTTACACTCTTTGATTGTGGAATGAAAAAAAATTACAGCTTACAAGTGTTTAAAGACAAATATGTACAGTAGTGCATACAACATTCATAAAAAAGGGTTTACGTATGAGAACCGTATTTTATTATTTTGCATTAATGAACTTCGTGTGTAAATCGAAGTGGGCGGAAGGAAGATCCAAGAAGAAGGGCCTTAAGAGCACTGGGTCCAAACAGGCAAGGAAATGAGACCACCGGGCATTACGATGGGGGAGAATTCACTAATTCACCCAGTCACTTATTCATTCATTCATCTATTCATTCATTCAGGGGGCGAGGGGGCCTTACACCATGGAAGGGTCCACATCAGCTAATTAAGAGAGTTTCTAGATGCGGGCTTTTCGCAGAAGGAAGAACGCCACTCATTCTGGTAGCGAGATCCAACATCACTTCTCTCCAGGCAGACACTTCTCAGCTTCTGACCACCTAGCCACATGTAAGCCTTACGAACATTCCCGTGACAGGCGGGCAGCCCAGATGCCCCCGCCACTGGCCGGGCCTTGTGGCGAAACCCGGTCCGGTATTAGCCCAGAAAAGGGGAAGCCAGCTGGAGCGGTTTGGGGATCGAACCCCAACGGAGGAGAACACAGCTTCCTTTTCAGGGAGCACTATTGTTTTGATAGTGGAACATGGTCAGATTCTCGGTCTGTTGTTTTCCAAGCTCGCCTTCGTCGCGGAGCTTCTGGAGCTCGGACCGCCATAGCCATAGAGCTCGCAGACCGAGAGTTTTCGACTGCTAGTTCAGGGGAGCGATCGCTGGGGGGCTATATGCGGCGGGATCTGGGCCGTTGAGGGGGGAACTGACACAGGCGCAGTAGGATTGCATGGTGCAGAAGGGATCGGGTTGGAGGAGGAGCGGAAGACGAGGTAGAGTTTGGGGAGTTTGCAGAAATAAAGTGGCAGATCTTAGCAGAGTTATGGTGGTGCAAGTTGAGATCGTAGATTCGTAGCGTGGGAGCGCCGCGGCTGTGAGGCTTGGTTCGAGGTGGTTTCGGATTGGGGGCCGACGGAAGAAGGCGATTGGGGATGGCATCGCAGCAGAGCATCCGGAAGGCTCTGGGCGCGATCAAGGATTCCACCAAAGTTGGCCTTGCCAAGGTCAACAGCACGTACAAGGTAGGTGGTGCGTTGTGATTTTTTGGACTTTCGGCACAGTACGCGTGGATTGCGAAAGGCGGTTGTGCGGGTTGTGGTTTAAGAGATGTTTGTTAGGTCTGGGGTCGCGTCTGGTGAGATTCGGAATATTAGTTGATAGTTCGGCGATTAGTGCGTCGCTTCTGAGGTCACTGCATCGGACCATGTTACATTCCAACATGGAAATCAGATTTGTGCGGAAGTGTTTGCTAGGGATTGAGCTATGATTTTGGAACATTGCATGCGCACCATCTCCTTGCGATGACCCATTGGCGCTCCATTGCCTCGAGACACGGATGGGTTGGTAGATACCACATTTTTTATGGTCTAAATGGCATATTATGTTGTGGAGTAGGTTCACTGTACCGACTTGAGATTGGGAATACTTTTTTACGGCATAGTAAACTTTACGATGGCTTCTAAGCTCGAATGTAGCTGCGGGATTGTAACATTTTGTTAATCATAACTTTCGCCGAGCTCTTGAGAATCTGTAGCTTTGGTGTGATTTGGTTCGATCCCCTGACTTGCTCGGGATTTGCAGGAACTTGACATTGCAGTGGTAAAGGCAACGAATCATGTGGAGTGCCCTCCGAAAGAGAAACATGTTCGAAGTGAGTCTCCTCACACATTAGTGTCTGTACGGTATGCAAGTGAATGGTGTAAAGCAGTAGTTGTGTGAAACTTTCCTTCAATTCGCAGCAAGCTGATATTGTGATGTGGTTTTTGTGTGTGACGAGCAGTGATCTTCTTGGCTACTTCTTCATCAAGGCCTCGAGCAGATGTAGCATACTGCATTCACGCCCTTGCGAGACGAATTGCCAAGACTCACAATTGGACGGTAAAGTTTTATCCTACCAGATAAAATTCAAGCATTCCAAGCTCTTTATTATTGACAACGTCTACATTGCTGAAATTCAAGATGCTGGGCTTTTCCCCTGAACACTTGTTGAGAAAGTCCATTGACCTTGAAACTCTGGGAGACCCCTACATACCCGGTTTTTTCTAACATATACCAGGCTGGTTTTCTCAATTCTTTTCCTTCTTCCTTCCCCTTCTTCTATTTCGTCTTCTTCTAACACATTTCTTATGTTTTGCTTCTGCTTCTGCTTCTTCTCCTTCCACCTTATGTCTTTCTATGACCCTTTCCCTCCCTTCTTATTTCCATCAGTTTCCTTCCATTGACCCCACAAGCTTTCTGCCGGATTTTCACGTGCCTTACAAACTCCATTAAACACACTGAAAAGCACCGAAAACTTACGGTCCAAAAAGTTAAAGTCTATCTGCGTTAAAAGTGCACTACTAAAAGTTCCAAATTCCTCCTCGACTCTATTGACATTAACGTTACAATGCAATCATCTACCACTCTGACGCGACTATGTTCCATCAAAGAGTTCAGAAACCACTAAATTGGCTAGTTCAAGACCTATTCGACAACACACATATCTTAAACTTCCAACTGGATTCAGGAAATATTGAGGAGTCTTCTCTGGTGTGTGACAGGTCGCACTGAAATCTATGATGGTTATCCACAGGACGTTGAGAGAAGGGGATCCAACGTTCCGTGAAGAGCTGATCAATTACGGTCGTAACAGGGGTCACATCCTGAATCTTTCGAACTTCAAAGACGACTCGAGTCCGCAAGGTACTGCACCTGCTCTGGCCTTCGTGGAATGAACGTCTGCCCTTTCAGATAGATAGAATGGTTTGTGCTGGTATGTTTCCCTTGTCGGTGAGACGTGGAAGTCGTGAAGTGCGTGTGGTATCTGGTGGGATAGGCCGAAATGAGAGGTGTTCGGTGGCGTCCCCTGTGTAACGTTCCGGGTTTGTTGTATATGATAACGTGCAGCTTGGGACTACTCCGCCTGGGTACGCACGTATGCACTGTTTCTGGAGGAGCGTCTGGAATGCTTTCGCGTTCTGAAGTACGATGTCGAGTCCGAGCGTCCAACAGTAAGTGCCTCGTGCTGACAGACGTATGTGGAGAGGAGAGGGACAGGTTTGTGATGCGCCGGGTTGTTTGGGATTGGCGGTGTTTCTGTTTGCGCTATGTCGTGTGTTGCATTGAGTAAGGGTGTTTTGTGTTGGCAGGGGCATAGTAGGACGAGGGAGTTGGACACGGTGGAGTTATTGGAGCATTTACCTGCTCTTCAACAGCTGCTATTCAGGCTGATGGGTTGTCAGGTAAGACGAGTTGTGCAGTTGCTGCGTGGCTTGATGATTGGAGAGTTTGAGGGCATTTTGGTTGCTGGAGGGTTGTGGATTTGGACGGAAGTTTGGGGGTGGTTCGAATGTCGGACCGTGGAGTGCAATGATCTTGGTCGTGATTGATGCTAGGATTGGTGGAAGGATGTACTATCTGTGGGGTTGTAGTTTCATGCTGGTGTGTTGGTACTTGTGCAGCCTGAAGGAGCTGCGATTAGCAACTACGTGATCCAGGCAGCTCTGGGTCTGGTGAGCATCTGATGTGTTT